CACAACTCGTGCAGTATAATTCAAGTCTCATTTATCCAGTTGGACACTCAGCATTTCCAAATAGACAGTGCTTTCCAATGGGGAACTGAACAAGAAGTTAAACATGCCCTTTATATAGTCAGACTCCATTGACACAAACAGTAACTTGACCACGCTAAACACAGGAACTGCTGGTCTACTGATGCCTCAATCAGTAGTTTGGTGTTTTAAAAGGTTTTGTTCAAATTCACCAAGGTCATATAATAGCATAAACTAACTAACTGATTGAGAGTGGTGAGTATGACACAACTCTGTCATTGAACTGCTGAATTTAGTGCTTTGAAAATGAATTTAGTTTGTAACTCACACCTTTGTATTTAGACTTCACACATTCAGCTGTTACCAAATCACACATTGGAATTCTCACAAACACTTAAATTAATTAGCAATGCATAAATTACAATCTGACAAACTGTCACTCTGCTTCACAGATGCTGATTTAACCAAAATTATGCTTTCTTGTCTCTAGTTCACAGCCCAGCTTCTTCCTCCATCACCACCACTCCACACCTCATCACAATGCCTCATCGATCCTGCTCTGTTGAGATTAACAACAACTCCGGCTGCTACACTCTTGCGAACCCCAGGTTATGCATTGTTTTGTCTCTTTCTGGAGGTATTGAGAGTACTTTTAAAACTCTTACGGTAGCTCTGTGTGGTTTGAGGCCATTTTTCCTGGTTTGGGCCCTTTAGTTCCCATGACGGGAAAACCTAATGCTTCAGCATTAGGGGTGTAACCATACATCAGTCTGGACTGATATACTGATGTAATGATCAATGATCCAATAATAAGGGGAAACATCTAAACATATCATCATCTTACGGTTTAAATCCATGTCTGTGAAAACACAGTAGCTTCACACCAATTCCCACAGAAGATCTGTACAATCAGCACAGTTTAAAGATTATTGTCAACAATTCAGTATCTGACCATATGTCTCCCCTTCTGTTCTTGAGATATGATTCTAAGTAACAGCCAGAAAAGTGTTTTTGCAGAATATTATGATGTCACAGTAAAGTTGACCTTTAACCTTTGGGATATAAAATGCCATTACTTCATCATTTTATCCTATGTGTGAAACTGCGTCATCATTCGGGTATGAATTGTTGAGTTATGGCGAAAAACATGTTTTGTGAGGTCACAGTGACCTTGACATTTGACTACCAAATTCTAATCAGTTTATTCTTCAGTCCAAGGGGACATTTGTGTCAAATTTAAAGAAATTCCCTTAAAGTGTTCTTGAGATATCTTGTTTACAAAAATGAGACAGATACAGACCTTAACCTTTGACCACCAAAAACAAAGCAGTTCATTGTTGAGTCGAAGTTGACATTGGTGCCAAGAAATTCCCCAAAGCTGTTCCTGAGATATCACATTCACGAGAATGAGATGGATGCAAGGTCACAGTGATCTTGACCTTTGATCCTTGACCACCAAAATCTAATTAGTTTATCCTTAAGTCCATGTCAACCTTTGTGCCAAAACTGAAGAAAGTCCCTCAAGACATTCTTGAGATATCACATTCACGAGAATGAGACAGATAAGGTCACAGTGACTTTGACCTATGACCACCAAAAACTAACCAGTTCATTCCTGAGTCCAAGTGGACACTTCAAATCAAAAATATCATAGCAGATTTTGTGATATCAGCAAACTTCGTATCTTATCGTATCATAATGTATCGTATCAAGAATCAATGTAACATTATATTGTGATGATACCTGTGATTTAAACCCCTATTTAACATACACAGATATTTTAGTCAATAGTGTGCTTAGAGTGTTGTCACAGCAGTTTAGGTTTGGCACTCTTCTATTTCATCAGGACAGTGCACAAAACCAGGCTGATAAAGGAATGGTTTTCCCAGTTTGGTGTAGAATAACTTGATAAAGCTGTAACCTCAACTCCATCTAACACCTCTAAAATGGAACACTAATTACAAGTGGCTGACCTCACCAGTGCTCTTGAAGCCGAATGGAATGACATGTTATCACATCACATCCCATATGAGTAGTATGCTCAGCTGTACACATACTTTTGGCCATGTGGCGTATTCCATAATGGTCATGCAAAATTACTGCGGAATGTAATTGAGATGTTTTTTTTAAAAAAAGGTTTAATCCTTGTGTGTGTACTCACATGCCTGTATAAGACACAAAAACACTCATGAAAATTAAATCAATGGTATAATTTGGAGAAGAATATTTCCGGAGGAACCTGTCTGATTGTGTCTCTCTTTGCTCAGGGTGTTCACTGAGAGTGGCTGCTGTGAGATCCCTCTGCCACCCATGGTGGGTCCCTGCTCCGCTGGCAGCGCTCTCTTCAACAAGACCACCGGCTGTGCGACTGGCTCCGTTGGTGTCTTCACCTATGACCTTTTCAATTCTGAGATGAACGACTATAGCCACATCATGGCTGTCATGTACTCTGTGCCCTATGACCGAAACCTCTACTCCAACTGGTTTGCTGTGGGGATCTTTGACAGAGGCAACGACTGCGACTACAATCTGTATGATATCATGTATAATGGAAGTGAAAATAACTTTGCAAGAGCAAAGGCGGATGGCTCCTGCATTTCTTATCAGGGCGATTATGCTATAGTCAGTGCCTCCATGTCAGACTCACATGAGGCAGTCCTGAGGGTGGATGTCAGTGATACTGGCATGTATTAAGACAAAAGAAGTAGGCTCCTACTGTTACTATGTAAGGCAAATGAGATGATCACAATCATTTTAATAAAATATTTTAAGTATGTGTGAAGCTCAATCAACTGATAAAGTTGCTCACTAGCTAAAGTGGTGCTTTTGAATCAGTATACCTAAGACATAGTACACATGATTGTACACTAAATATTGGTTATTCAGATGTGATTTTAAAAAGTTGATGCCTAATTAGAAATAAAAACATGACTTTTATGTGTCAATCGAATCATGTCCTCTTTGTAAGACAATGAAATTAACATGTTTTGTTAGTTCTCTCAGACACTTAGAAATCTAGTTGATAGATGGCCGTTTCTGGACATTGTGGTGCCCTTGGCCACTGGTTGCCAACCTGGTGGTCCCAACTGGTCGCCAAAGTTTCATAGGGGGGGTCATAAGGCCTTCTTGATTTTAAGGAGTTTAATAAAACAAAAAAAACAGTAAGCCTATATCTAAGATATGTACTACTTTCTTTGAGGAAAACTAAATGAAATTGATATTTTAGACTTTTTAGAAGTCCAGATTATTATTTAAGGTATAAAGTCAGGATAAGACAGCATAAGGGAACTGTAAAGACCTGACCATAAGCTTATTGTTTAGAGCATTTGCATTTGTCCAAACTCCATAAAAAACTTTAAAGCATTTGAGGATTTATTGGACAAAATTAAAGACATTTCTACCATAATTTGATGCAGAAAAGGCAAAAATTGATGCAGAATAATTCACCAGTATTCTGGGAATTAAGCATCTGACACTCAAAATTTCCTGGAGGACGACCCCTCCCTCCATATCATATCTAGCTTCCGGGTTTAAAGTTCTATTACTAGAACAGGAGTCTGCTCAATTTTTTCTCTTTGTTTACTTTCTGGTTTTTCTGCATGAAAATTGTGACTAATTAGAAGCAGTTTCCTTGCCCATCACAAATTTTGCTTGTAAATGTGTGAACACAAACCAAACTCGAGGCTATATATTAAATAAATTGGTCCGGGATTTATACCAAAGCACACAAACTACAGGTATGAAAATGACCTAAGAGGAATTTTATGACCTGTACGGAGGCCCATGTCTTGTACTATTGATGAAGTCAGCCTGTGTTTAGATGTGTGTGAGAGGGACCAACACTGGGGGGCAGCAGAGTGTTTGTAAAGGCTACAGTCTGTATGACTATGTGGATGGTATGTGTGATGTCCTAAGACATGTGATCATGCACATAAAATTTTGGTTCTATTACCTATGTCTACCTTTTCATGGCAGGTTTCAACAAATCACAGAATATGTCATGCAGCTGAGAGAAAAAAGGGAAACACAAGTTTGTCTCAAAAGGAATTTGACTTGTACCCACACATATATAGACCATTCTTTTGAAGAGAATGTAATGTTTTCTGTACACTGTATTATAGAAGAGGCTTATTGTTTTGGAGATGTCATGCATTTAAACATATGATGTCTTTTTAAACTCTTTATCATAAAATAACCTAATGTGTGATAAAGAGCTTCAAAATAGGTACCATATTAGCTTGCAACCTCCATTTGTCACACTGTTAATACCAACAAGACATTTCCTGCATGCTCAACAATAGTAACAACATCAGGAACACAATACTTACCATTGCTTCCTCACAATTAAAACACATTTTAATGATTTAATTGGTAGTAAAGGATGGTTCCACCAGAATTGTGCTGTGAACAGGTTTCACAGTGAAAGGCAAACAGGCAAAAGTGTGTTTTTGAAACACGTCTCTAAAGTCAAATACTGCCAGTCTCACACAGTTTATGAGGATCTACAAAAAGAAATGGGAGCTATTTAATCCTGGTAGAGGACAATTCATTTTGCTTTAAAGCTGGAATCACCCACAGAGGTAAGACTAATAATTCTGAATATAGTGTATAAACCTACTGTGGGTAGTCCCTTCAATTTTTCATAATAAAAGCCACCATGTGCACAATCAGAACTTTACAGACTTTATCACCTCCCATGTGGTAGTATTAAAGAAGACCCTATTTCAGACAGTAAAGCACAAGGCTACTGCTGGAATTGAATGAATTGAGATCACACTATGTTGTACAGTATGTGTGGCACCAGCACATCCCGATGAAAAAAGTAGTGAAGTATTACTTCAATAAGAAATAACTTGGAACTATACCGATTGAGCTTTATCTACACTGTTTCTTTTATATTTGAACTGTAATACGTTTCAAATGTGAAAACAGAATTTACACCACTGCGTGTGTATAAGGAGCAGAATTAAGTTTAGACTCACCGAAGACCAGAGCCAGACCATGAGATGTTCCTACAGCAATCACACCCGATACTGTCTGAACACAAAAAATGTACAAAAAGATTTAGTCAGTAAAAGTTGAGCAAAGACAACACAAAGACAAAATAATAGGGGTGGGGGAAAAAATCAATACAGCATAGCATTGCAGTATTGTGTGGTGATATTTTATCGATACACGGATGTCAAGTATCAATCTTTTATTATATGCATTATTAATTTTTGTAAATGCACATTTTAATACAACTTTTGTAACTGGAATAATAAATCAATTCCTTTTTGGGACCAGTAGTTGGCGTTGATGTTCTTTTTCCTGGTGAGGTCAGTGGCATTTGGCAAGATGTTCATCGAAATAAAGATGGAGGCACCGGAGAAAGAAACAAGAATCGGCCGTTGGTGTTTTAATCACACGTCTGGACTATTTTTAATTTTTTAACTTGTAAGGAAAGAATGACTTGGATATGGCATGTGTGATTTGCAAGCAGTGTCATTTGAGGATAACTGATAACTAAAATAACACCGCCCATCACCTATTTCAAAGATCTGTGACATTGACTGTTGAAAACGAAGGCTTTTGTTACATGCTAAAAACACTCCGTAGATATGTGACTCCATCCCTACGTTTTTTTTAACCAACACAGCTGTACCAAAGTTCTACAGAGAAGTGAAGCATAAAGTTGAGGAATCTTTGAGTACAGCAGGAAGGGTGGCAATAACTTGTGATGCCTGGACTTCAAGGTCAGTGGATTCATACGTGACTATAAGGGCACATCATCTCAGAGAACTGGTGACTGCTGTTCTCCAAACTAGAGCAGTACACTAAAGTCACACTGGAGCAAACATTGCAGACCTCCTGCAAAATGCAGCACAAGAATGGGGGATTGTGATTGTAACAGACAACACTTGTAACATGTGTGGCGCCATTTAGTAAGCGGGATAGATATCTGCATGTGAAGTGTTTCACTGACGCGCTTAATCTGGCCTCACAGAGGACGTTAAATCTGCCAAAAGTTCAGTTTGTCAGGTGTATGCGGCATTTCTGACAGGTTTTATGACGCTGTTGGTCAGTCTGTCTGCTTTGCATCACATTTTTCTGCAATAAAAATGGTTAAAGTCAGATGAACAGACTAAAAACTTTATCTTATGAGATAAAACTGATGCTGGCAAAGTTTTGCTTTGGGGGAAATAATTTGCAGTTGGAATAAAAGGTAATAAATCACAATATATGGCAATATATTTTATCGCAATACTCCGAATATTGCAATATTGTGATAATATCGTACTGTGGGTCCTCTGGCAATTCCCACCCCTGCAAAATTGGAGGAAACACCACAAAGGAATATCACACAATCTGCCTCCACCAGCACTGAAATAGTCAGGGACCACAAACACAAACCTGTCCTTTATAATGACAGTGGTTTCCCTAAAGTTTGAACATTTTTTCAGTAGAGGTTTTCTCATTACAATGCATTATTACAAACTATAAAACCTCTTGCAAATGTGCATACCCTCACATTCTCGTCCTGCTTCTCCCCTACGTCTCTCTCATTATTTTTACACTAGAGAATTGAGTTCTGTGTAAATGCTCTGGCTGCACTCAAAAAATATGCTCAACTCTATTTTCTGTTGTATTGTTGTGTACAACCTTCTAAAACTGGTCTACCATAATGTTTGTAGTTGATACAAATTATCAAAGCAATTCAAATAAATGCAAAAACCTTGAATGTGGTTCACCCCTTTGGCCTAATGGTTATGGTGCAAACCTGCACTTCGATTCTGGCTAGGGTTCCTGTCTGCCTGTCTACTATCGTGCTGATAAAGGCAAAATGTCAACAGCAACACTTCTAACTTTATTTCCTATGTCTCCAGTTTATAGCCACATTTAAAATTATGAAATGACTAAAAATGCATCATGAAAGCAAACATAGTCAGCCATAGAACATCATAGACAGTCATAGGGTGTGTTACCAAATTGTCCTTCAACCTAATACCATCTCTTTTTGCTCAGCTGAATTCATAGTTGAATAAATTAATACTCACTATAGCAGTTGGCAGTCCGGCATCCACTTTGTCCTGAGCAAAAAATATACAAAAGTTTTAATTATGCTTTAATACATAAATGCATTGGTCTACTGCACATGTACAATTCTAAAGCTAGTGTTTAAGTACAGAGTTTAGTAACAATCAATCATGCAAATAAAATCACTTTAAGCAACAAAACCTACAAAAGAACCAGAGCAGGCATTCAGAATTACCAAGAGATAATCAACTTTTGACTATAACAGAGCTCAGATCACTGCTGTCTGACAGTTTTCATCAAGTAACTCAATCCAGTGACTCAAACCCAGAGGTTTACATTAGCTTTAGTGAACCAGTTAGTAGTTTAACACCCCTCATATTAATGATGGGTTGTTGTCAGATGAGAAATAGAAAGATAATAAAGACATACATGAATTGTGTGATCATTGATAATAATAGCCAAAATGCTCTGTTTTTATTTGTTTTAGAAAAGATAAGATGCATTTATTGTCACTATATACAGTGATACAGTGAAATTTCAAGTGCCCTCACAGTGACATTTAAGATTTTACATACATTATGTGAATTCATACACACACACCCATACACACCCCCACTCATACAACAACTAACACAAGATAAAATAAAATTAAGAAAATATATATGAAAATATATATGAAATTGCACTGATGCATGACAGTCATTGCACAGACCTGATGTTCATTGCACAGACCCGATGGTTTTCTTTTTGACATCTCAACACTCATGACACCTGTGAATCTTTTTGATTTCTTAAATTAACTTAAAAGTAGTCATCCTTACATCATCCTGATCAATACAATCAGCACAGTTTCAAGGTGGACACCTAGGATGAGTGTCATCAATTAAGTATCTGACCAAATGTCTTCCCTTCTGTTCCTGAGATATGACACTGAATAATGGCCAGAAAAGTGTTTTGTGCAGAACATTATGCTGTTTCTGTGAAGTTGACCTGTGACCTTTTGGGTATAAAAGGTCATCCCTTTATTATTTTATCCTATTAGACATTTGTGTGAAGTTTTGTCATAATTAGCATATGATATGTGAAGATATTTCCTTACAGTGTCCTTGAGATCTCTCATTCACAAAAATGAAACTGACAAGGTCAGAGTGATAATGACCTTTGACCACCAAAATGTAATCTGATCATTGTTGAGTTCGAGTGAACTTTTGTGCTAAATTTCAAGATAATCCCTCAAGCTGTTCTTGAAATATTGCATTCACAAGAATGAGATGAATGCAGGGTCATAGCGACCTTGACCTTTAACCCTTGACCACCTAATCTAATACATTCATCCTCGAGTCCAAATCAACCTTTGTGTCAAGTTTGAAGAAATTCCCAGAAATTCTTGAGATATCGTGTTCACAAGAATAAGACAGACAAGGTCACCGTGACCTTGCCCTTTGACCTTTGATCACCAAAAACTAATCAGTTTATTGTTGAGTCCAAGTGGACATTTGTGCCAAAAAACCTCTGAGAGGCTGCGCCTAAACGTAACTTCACTCTGTGGTGTTATTTAGCCCGTTTTCGAATGAGATAGACATAGTACCAATGGATGCATTAGGTCTGTGATACTCAACTTGAGGCCATGGGCCTCACCTGTCAACCATTTTCTGATTCACAATGACAACAAATTAATTCACGCTGGGATATGTTTTTGTTCTATGAATGTAAATAAGGTTCCAGAGTGCATTAAAAAGCATCAAATTTGAGGTTTTTTATCAATAAAAGAAAACTTCTAAGGGAGAATCCCCTCGAAAGAGGTTCAGGCTATGCCCTGAATGTCAAGTCATGGAAAAGCTCCTGCATACACCTCACCTGCAGCACTACACCAACTGGATTTGGCAAAAATGAGTGTGGACAGCAAACATCAAAAACAGGCAGTTCATTTGTTATATATACTGTACTGATACATATTAACGTTTGTTTATTAAATGGCCCCTGTTCTCTCGTCATTTTATACAATTGTCCCTGACTTAAGTTGTCCAGTTTTACATGACACCACTACCTCCGTGCTAGCTATAAAAATGAGCTCACAGCCTCTTAAAAACAGTAATGTCTGCCAAGATCACCAGCAGCCCTGCGGGTCTCAGTCACAGGCGGGCACACACACAAACACACATGTGCAGGTGCAGTCATAGGACACACACACACACACAGAGGTATGTACATCCACATGCTTGTGTGTTAGAATTCACAAGTGCATATCAAAATGCATCTGCATAGCTGAGTTGTACTTATTACACACAGACAAACATACATACACATTATGTCGTTTTGTGAGTGATCCATGAGCACTGTTTTACTCAGTGATGATCTGAATATGTAGGATGCTTTAGTTGCTTTCCTCCATTTTTTCCTTTTTTTTATGTTGTCTGAAAATATGCGCTCTGGGCTCAGGTCCTGGCCTGTTTTAATTTCATGGTGTCTTATAAGTCTATGCAGGCTGAACATATCTGTTGCATGACACAATAAAAATTCATTCATTCATACATACACATGTGGGACTTAAAGTAAATAATCACACAAGCGTATGTACATGTATCTTGTCCTCCGTGAACCTTTCCACCCCCATAGTGCATGCATGGGCGTGTGTTTTTCTTACAGCAGCAGAGACGATCTGTGCAGAGATGCCCTTCAGGAGACTGTGTCGAAGAACAGACCCATGAACAGTTGCATTCAGATCCACGGTCCTTCTCCGTCTTCACACATGGACATGTCCACACACAGACGCACGTCAACACAAGTAGACATGTTCACAGATCAAACACGCACACAAAGAAGACAGTTTCCATTTTATTACCATGGACATGTAAAGACAAGAAGGTGTACATCAAAAGCATGCAAGTAGTAGTGAGTGTTTGTGTTGTTTGTTTGGCAGATGGACACTTCTTCGTGGAACTACTTTAGGGTGAGGATGTACACGGTCTGTATTGGCTCATGTTTGTGCTGCTCTGGTTGCTGCAGCAGCATCTGTATGGAGTCACACACATAAAGGTTCTAAATAAAATATATTTCTAACTTCAGCCTACAGTATTTCAACATTAAAAAGATTTACTTATTCTATTTAATTTCAAATTAAAACTATATGTATACAGCATATGGCATGTGGGGTGTACTTAATTTAGGCATATTAAATAGTCATTTAAATTGTATTCAGTTTTCATATAACATTTTAAAACTTAATGTGTTTATGTAATTCAAAATGGCTTCACTTATTTAGCAAAATGCATTTTTTGATTGTTGTTATGCAGAGTATTTAAGTTTATTTATACAGCACTTTTCCAGAGTCCCTCAAAATAAAAAAGAGACTACAGATACAACATACATTCTTAAGAAGACTACAAACATAAAGTAAAAATTATTAAAAATATAGAGATTAAAAAAATGCACCCTAGAAGCTGCTTGTTAAAAAGTGTGCACTGTGTCCTCAGATCTGAAGTCCAAAGGGACAGAGCTCCATAAGAGCCAATACCTCAAAGCACAGTCTCTTTAGATATGAGGCTGGAGCAGCGAACAACAAACAAACCTGATCAGTCTTCAGAGACCTACTGCTAATATAGGACTGCAGTAAATCTCAAGATCTCAAAAATGACAGCAAGAACCTTGTAAAAGTTTAGCAGCATTTTGGGCCACTTGTAAACCATCAGGGATGTTTTGCTAAAACAGGTTGAAATGGGACAAAATCAAAGCACAAATAATTAGGGGTGGAGGGACTCCATACAGCATAGTATTGCAATATTTTGTGTGGCAATATTGTATCTATACACAGATGCCAAGTATAGATTTTTTTTAATATATGAATTATTATTATCCGCTCGGATCGACTACAAAATCTCCCTCCTCACATTCCAGTGCATCCATGGCAACGCCCCCCAGTACCTCAAAGAACTCCTCACCCCCCAGACCTCAGCACGCTCACTCCGCTCCACCAACAGCCACAGACTTCTCCCCCCAAGGACTAAGAGCCGCACACTGGGAGATCGAGCCTTCTGCTCCTCTGCTCCTCGACTATGGAACACCCTCCCAGAATACCTGAGGGTTCCACAGTCAATTGATTGTTTTAAAAAGGGCCTTAAAATGTACCTTTTTAAAAAATCTTTTAATCTGTAATTTTTGCTTGTATTATTTTGATAACTGCTTTTAACTCTTGTTTTAACTTATTTTTTCTTTTCTTGCTGTTGTAGCACTTTGAGATTTTTCGTTAAATATAAAGTGCGTTACAAATAAAATTTATTATTATTATTATTATTATTAATAATATTGCAAATATAAATGAAACTTTTGGTAGCCTTCTAGAATACTAAAATAAATTACCTTTTCAGTCCAATAGATAGATTTTGCTGCAATGAAAATTATTTACATAAGATGAACAGACTGAGAACTTCACCAAAACAGATGTCGTTAAAGATTTCCGTCAGGGACATCCTTTGTAGTTAAAAAAAAGGTAATATATCGCAGTATGTATCTATCATAGCAATACTTGCATATTGCAAAACTTTTAAAATTGCAATAATATTGTATCGTGATCCAAGTGTCGTAACAATATCAAATCTTGGGGCCTGTGTGTGTGCGTGTGTGTTTGTGTGCGTGTGTGTGTGTGTTTGTGTGCGTGTGTGTGTGTGTTCATGCCGTTTGAGGTGAGCTGGGTCTCCACTGTCAGAGCTGGCCAGAGAGGAGGTGTCACAGGAGTGAGCATCCATGTTGTCTGTGTTTAGCAAGCAGGTGTCCTCCAACACAAATGGTTCCTCCTCATCCTCCAGCTGCAGACAACACACAGGACAACAAAACAAACACACCTCAGATAGATGGCACCCAAAGGATAACAAAACAAACATACCTCAGCTACACGGCTCTCTTACATTTATAGTGGAGGGGGATAACACTGATGTTAAATCTGCTGCCAACATCATCTTCCCAGTATCACACGCAACTTCAGTCTGTTTCAGCCCTGTGGGAATTATCTTTTGACAGTGGCTGTCGGCTACTACCACACTGAATAACAGCAAAATTAACCTATAGAGCCAACTTTGCAACCGATGAAAAATATTGTTGGTAGTTAACCGATTAATGGTGAACCCCTGACATCACTATTTTTAACGTTTTGGTGTAATTTTTTTCACACTGCAGCCACTCCCCTGCTCTCTGTGTCAGTGCTGAGCTCCTCCAAATACATACACACACACACACGTGCACATGCACACACACACACACACACACACACACACACACACACACACTACATAAACACAGAGTCGGCGATCAGCGGAGCAAAGAGATGGAGACAACAAGTTAACAAAAGAAGACTTTCTTTGTGATTAAAAGCCAATTCTTACACAAGCATAAACATGCAGAAAGCAGTATTAGTTTTGCTCTATCTGCAGTCTCATCCACCTCCACCGCTGCAATGATTTACACACGCACCGCACACTTAAGTACTAATCAATAACATTCTGAAATAAATTATTCTTTTGATAAAAATTGTTTTTATTCCTCTAGAAGTGTTACATTTCTTATTCAAAAGGCATTCATGCTTTTAGAAATTGATTTGTCTATTTACCTGATATCAAAATCATGTTTTTTAACATATGGCCTTAATGCCTGGAGAGATACACAGATGTACCTTTAATATTTATACAGTAGTCTATACTGCAAGTGATTGTGAATCAGTTTCACCTGTTTTGGTGCAAATGAAAGTGTCTCCAGGTGCAATGGAGAGGCAAAAGCATGACAACCAAAAAGGGAATGGTTTTGCATGTTGTGGCCTCAGACAGCTGCTCTCTCCTTATCCTTCCTGACTGATTCTTCTCTAGTTTTGTGTTCTGCTAGTGTCCTTGTCACTACTGGTATCATGAGGCGGTACCTGCAGCCCAATCAGGTTGCACAGGTAGTCCAGCTCCTCCAGGATGGCACATCCATACATGCTGTCACAAGAAGGTTTGCGGTGTCTCCCAGTTCAGTCTAAAGAGCATGGAGGAGATACCAGGAGAGTGGCTGTTACACAAGGAGAACTGGACAGGGCTGAAGAAGGGCATCAACCGTAGTATCAGTACCTGCCCTTTTGCACGGGGAGGAACAGGAGGAACACTGCCAGAGCCCTCCAGCAGGCTACTGGTGTGCATGTTTCTGACCAAACTGTCAGAAACAGACTCCATGATGGTGGCATGAGGGCCTGAAGTCCTCTAGTGGGACCTGTGCTCACAGCCCAGCACCGTGCAGCTCAATTGGCATTTACCATACACCAGAATTGGAAGGTCTGTCATTGGTGCCCCGTTCTCTTTTCAGATGAGAGCAGGTTCACACTGAGCACATGTGACAGGCGTGAAAGAGTCTGGAGACGCCATGGTGAACGTTATGCAGCCTGTAACATCGACCGGTTTGGCAGTGGGTCAGTGATGGTCCGGGGAGGCATATCCTTGGAAAGTCACACAAACATCCATGTCACAGCCAACAGTACCCTGACTGCTGTTAGATACCAGGATGAAATCCTCAGAGCAATTGTCAGACCTTACGCCACTGCAGTGGGCCCTGGGTTCCTCCTGGTGCAGGACAATCCCTGGCCTCATGGGGCCAGAGTGTGTAGGCAGTTCATGGATGATGGAGGCATTGATGCCACTGATTGGTCCTCTCATTCCCCTGACCTAAATCCAACTGAGCCCCTATGGGACATCATGGATGCATGGTGCATCCAATGCCGCCAAGTATTGCCACAGACTGTCCAAGGGCTCACTGAGGCCCTAATCTAGACCTGGGAGAAGATCCCCCAGGACACCATCCACCAACTAATCAGGAGCATGCCCAGACATTGTCAGGAGTGCATACAAGCATGCAGGGGGCCATACACACTACTGAGTCACATTATGAGTTGCCATTATAAAATTCACAAAGGTTGGATCAGCCTGTGATTTTGAATCCAGCCCTCAGTGGGTTGATGATTTTGGATTCCATTGACTGTTGCTATGTCATTTTGTTCCCAACATATTATACAGTGTATATCAGTAAAGATTTTCAACTTGAATAATTTGTTTATCAAGATCTGATCTGTGAAGTGTTCCTTTAATTTTTCTGAGTGTATACAGAGAGAGAGATACAAGAGAAGTAGGGCAGCTGATAAAATTACTTTCAAAAAGTTTCATCATACTGTTAAAAGTGCTTGATGCAGTATAGCTCAGTGTAGTAGTCAGAGAATAACATGTTACCTCATTAAGGATGCTCTCCAGTGTGGGAGGTGTGTCCACTTGGGGAATGTCAAACTCCTTATCATCGATCTGAGAACAAAAGTTTTACAAAAACAAAGAGGGTGAGAGAGCAGTACTTGTTCTGTTGTGTTTTCTTTGTTGTGTGTATATTTGAATCTCCTTTGTCTGTCATCTCCATGTGTTTTATCCCAAATTAACAACAAAAAGCACTCATCAGTACTATTCAACCATTACTTAAGTGACCAGCAATCCAACCCCCACTGACTCAAGTGACTGACTTCCAGTACTAATTCAAACACTGGTTTTCTGAAGTAGTGACTGAGCTTCCCTGAGTTAAGCAGACCTGTAAAGCTCTGAGGTTATTATTCTCGCCTCACAGAGGCTTAAGTGTAGGTTCAGTTCATGTATATTTTTTTTGTGACAAATGAGGACTCAAAACACATGTTCAATGTGGGAAAGTTTTGCACCTGGATGATTATTTACCAAGAATTCTTGCCAGAATCTACTTCCTTTCCCAGTGAAAACACTTCCAGGAACACTTAGTACTCTTAGTATGTGGATGGATGGTAAATGGGCTTGCACTGGTATAGCGCCTTTCTAGTCTTTTAATCACATAATGCACTTTCACACCTCATGTTACATTCATCCATTCACACACACTTTCAAACACTAATGACCAAGCCTACCATGCAAAGTGCCACCTGCTACCCAATGTAAAAATTCACCCTCGTTCAAACACCAATGACCGACAGCCATCTGTAGTAATTTGGACAGAGTCTTCAAGTTTTTTTTTGTTTTGTTTTATATCTAGTGTTAGTAGTAGTAGTTAGCACACATTAGCTTGGAGGGCTAACTTTGCTTGTTGGCATGAAGGTCACTGCCACCCTCAACATCCCATCAAATCCCGTACAAACTCTCAAACTCTGTGTGGCAAAAATGATTGAATAGTCGAATATTCATATTGAACAGCCAAATCCAATGCCACTGACAGAATTCTGAGGTGGGTGCAGCCCTAAAAAATATCTAAGGTGGTTGGTGTTTTTCACATTGTACAGCACCTCACTCACAACATTCCATAAACAGTATAACAATACTACAGAGCCCCAGTCAAATCACAGTGTGATTTTATTTTGTCACATTAACTTTTGCGTTACCTCAGATTTGGTTTTACATGACAGCACATGACATAGTGCTGTGTTGCTGTACCCCATTTCCATAGGACCAGTTGGTATGTTGGTTCAGTCCAGTTAAAATACACTGAGTTTAGAGAAACACACTGCAGATATTACAGAGAGAAGCAATGATGAGACACTTTGTATTATGTATTTATTGCTCATACCTCCTTCAAAGGGCTGACCTCTTACAGTATACAGCCATCGGCTGTGAACACGGTCACAGCTGCTCTACCTGGCTGTGCTGGTTGAAGCTATGACTGTGGATGTAGTTAATGCTAGGGCTGTGGCTGCAGTTGTGATTGTACCCATCAGTGCTATGGATATGGCAATGGTAGTTGTACTGTGGCTGCTCTTTACTGTTCCTATTAACGTTAACCAAGAAATTATCTTCAAGCCACACAGCACTGCAAATGAACTAAATACTTTCCATGCAAACTTTGAAAACAACTAAACAACTTCCCAGCTGAGGGAGTACAAGAGGCCCAGGACCCAGGCCCACCAGTAATATCCAAGGCAGATCTGTGCAGATCATTCAAAAGGATTAAGCCACACAAGGCGCCTTGACCTGATGGCATCCATGGCCAAGCTCTCAATATGGGTGCAGATCACTGGCAGATGTCTCCACAGACATTTTCAATCTCTCACTACTGCAGTCCCCACATTTTTCAAGAAGACTACCATTGTCCCTGTCCCCAAAACACCAAAGCCCTCTGCCTAATGACTACCGTCCAGTAGCACTCACTTCCATCATCATGAACTAAGTGAACCCATTTCAATTTGTGCACCGGCCAAGAGGATCAATCACCATTGCCATCACCCCAGTCCTTCACACTACCTTTTCCCTCCTGGACCAGAGGAACATGTGAGAATGCAGTTTGTCTGCTACAGTTCAACATTCAACACCACTGTCCCCTTCAAGCTCTTCAACAAGCTCGTAGAACAAGGGCTCTTGACCACCCCCTGTGATTGGATCCTGAACTGCCTGATGGACAGAGCTCATATTGTGCAAATAGGCAGCACCGTATCTTCCACCCTGACCCTCTCCTGCACTCCCCATTCATGCACAACTGTACCACAAACAGCTTTAACTGGATCATCAAATTTGCTGATGACACAATCATCATCAGCCTGATCCCTGATGGTGACAAGACAGCTTACAGAGAGGGGGTCAGAGCTCTGATATCTTGGCGCCCATACAACAGCCTCCATCTCAACCACAGCAACACTAAGGAGTTGACTGTGAATTACAGGAAGAGACAGGGAGGAAGACATGCCTCCATCTCCATCTTTGGGACTACAGTGGAGAAATTCAGCAGCTTCAGGTTCCTCTAGGTTCCTCTAGGTTCACATCAGTGAGGATCTGACCTGGACTTGCCACACAGACAGGATTACCAAGACAGCGAGAAAACTGCTCTTCTTCCTCTGCAGGCTGAGGAGGTTCAACGTGGACTCCAGAATACTCCGTAACTTCGACAGGTGCACCATCGAGAGTATCATGACCAGCTGCATCACTGCCTGCCATGGCTCTTACATTTTTTACAGTTAAGATTTTACAGATCTTCATGGTGCTGAAGATGAATACATTGAACATAGCTTTTTGTCTCAAAGACATGCTCTATGTTCTAAATAAATATATTACAAAGCAAAAATGAAGCAAATAACAAAATTGTAAACTCTGAAGCACATAAGCACATTATGGTAATATGCCTTCCTTTACAGTCAGCAGTCAGAGCTTACAGACTGCTGGATTTTTTAATAATATATGTTACTGAATGGAGGGAAACTTGAGACTGTAAACTTGGTTTACTTCGATCAAATTAACAGCTTCTCCAGGAAAACATGAATAACCTGTTTATGATTGGGTTTTTGAAATATCCCATTTATGTGTTTGAGCATGTAAACACCATATTCTGTTCATGAGAAATCTCAATATGCTAGCTGGAGTATTCTGAAAGAAACAAAGACATATACAAGGAATATGAATCACTCGATTTCTCCAAATCCCAAATATGAACATAACCAGAATATGCCTCATAATAGGGTTATTCATGTCCATGTAACTGCATTCACTATTTTTTTTTTACATGTGAAATGGCTTTATTTAACAGTTAAAACACTTTAACAGTTTAAATCACACATTAGCGGGTGCTGGGCTAGCAGCCTGTCTGCAACATGCCAGTCAGTGTCAGAGAATTGTAATGTGAAACTGCTTTATTCTGGTTTGAATTAACTGGCCTAATTGTTTTTGAGTGGAACATACCTATGTGGACAACGCAGCTCCTGGTAGTAAAAAAAACAAAACAACCCCTGAACAGTGAACGCTGAAGGAATTCTAACCCGGAGAAGTTTTCAGCTAGTTGCAATGTGAAATCCTCATCACTAAATCTTATGCAATGATCCTTAAAGAGAAAACTCTTAGCTTGGGACTTGTGATTTAGAGGGATTCCTAGTGGTAAGATCATTTGTGCACACTGCCTCAGATCAGGTAACATGAGTGAAACACCTGTGGTGATGGACCATGGAGCACAGAGGCTTTCAGGAAAACTTGCTTGTCAGTTAGCACCTTTAGACTTAACTCAGACTGTGCAAGTCTTACTGCTAATCCTAAATAATACAACATGTACATACACCTGCAGTTATCGTATGTTATGAACCATGTATAACATACAAAATCCTCGACATGTGTTAAATACAACATCCGTTTGAATCAGTTACTCCTGTTGGTTGGGCGTGTAGGAGGTGAATCACAACGGGAAGTGACCGCGCATGAACGCACCACGGACGAGAACTTGCACATTTAAACCTTCCTTTACTTTCAAAACTCTAATAATATACTGTTAGAGAGCACGTTGTTAATTCACTGTCTGAGGCACAGCTACTACCAACTTGTCTTGTTTGAATAATGTTTGGCTACGGTTTGACAGCGCAGAGTGTGAGCTGCAGACCCAATCACGTGATAACGTTCAGACAGTGTAAATACTAGTATGTTCATAAATGTGTTGGTACAGTCATAGAAGTCAACCTTAAAACAGCAACATTAGTGGTTTCAGCTGAAGCCGGTGTCTTTAGGGCATTACTACAATTAAATAATACGACCACAGCACAGAAATTTTCACTATAAAATTCCAACCAGCCTTCCTCCTGACAATGGCCATCTTCAGGAGAATTTAACATGCGTAACATTAGCTGGGCCTCATCTGGACCTGTCCCGGGCTACTGTTAAGTTGGTTATTAACACAAACGTGTTTTGTTTTTTTCCTATGACCACAGAGGAAAGTATAGCCTAGTGTAAAGTGTAACGCTAAGACCCCCATGGTGTATCGACGACGGGAAAACCACAGACTGCTGCTGCAGTTAACTCTCATTCCAGTCTTCCATGACATTAGAATAAGTATAAAGTGTCTCACCGCGTCCACCTCCATCAGGTTGAGCTGTGAAGAAGCAGAGAGGAGGCTGCGGGCATCTGGAGAATCCGACATCGCTGTGTTTACATTCACAGATAGGGCTCGTCCGTTTGTCCCATAGGTTTCTCCCTCTGCTGCTCCTCTCACAGGAAGTAGATTAATTACAACTTCCGGTTTAACTTTTCAGAATAAATTTACAGAATTCACAAATTGGGTGAAAGCATACCGCAATTTTTGCAAAACTANTATATATGTAACATATATGTGTTATAAATATATGATAATACTAGTACAATAAATTCATAACAGTAAAATACGGCAAAATCATAACATGTTAAAATTTTCTATTATAATAATACAGGTTTATTCATTTGGGCTATTCATTCAAGAAATTTGAAGCCTGCTAATCTCAAAACACGGAGCACTAATGAGCACTGTTGCCCATAACAACCACTATACTATAGTTTTTGTTTAAATATTAAAACAAGCCATCAAATTCAGCAAGCTGCCTCAGTAGCCTATATCTCACTGCTGTCTTCATCTGTTTCTGTACAGTGTGATCGTTTATGACATTGCAGGTGATGACAGGGATAAATGGGTTGAGCAGTTGGTTTTAGTAGAGCTGGGACAAAAAGGCCACTGCTCAGGACCTGGGTGACACCAGTTTCAATCCCAATGAACCAACACCAATAAAAAAGTTGATTAATGGTTGTGTGACAGCCAGGTGAGAAGTCAAGCAAAATAAATGGCAGCCTAAATAATGCGTTAAGGACTATGTTAAGTGAAATAGGTAATAGGTTGTGGTAAATTAGATGTATGATAGAAAAAGACAATGCAGCAGCAGGGGAGCAATAACTGTGCTGTCTACGTTATTAGGAGCTGGTGATAAGAGACAGAAAGGCAGCATCTGAGTACTGTTCTTTACTTATCAGAGGAGGGAGGATGACTTCATTGTTGTTTTTGTTTGTTTGTTTTATTTTGACTCACCCAGAAGCTACAAATATTTGAGCAGAAAAAAAAGCCTTGGATTTTTCACTCTTGCCCTGCATGCTGGTTAGTTTGTGCAAACTGTTAAATTTTTGCCAAATTTGAAATGAGACGTAGAATAAAGTGATTTGATGAAAGGTCACTGCTTTAAGATCAGATTTGGTTATTTTTTGGCCGATGGCAGTGTTTGTAGCACATGAGGTATTCGATGACCATCATAAAATTTGAAATTACAACAATTATTTTCTAGTTTCTGGCTATGATAAATGCTGTCATTTTGTCAATTTTAAAGAAAACATGCCCTCCAAACCGACGGGGTGAATGAATCTTGAAGACAGACAGACTGTAACTTTAATTAAGTACAGGTTTGAGCTACCTGTGCTTTACTTAGGTATGTCCATTTTATGCTACTGTATACTGTTTAAAGGCAACTGTACCTAACTATACATTTCTGAAATTAATGCTGAACCTCTTATTTCCCTCCATTTATCTGACAACTGTAGCTGGAGTGAAAATAATGTAACAAGCAACTGTTCTGAGTACTTTTCCTTTTCAGTCTATAAGCATATTTTGCTGATACTGGTAATAATCATTGTAATAATAATTTCAAATGCCAGACTTTCATTTGTCATTTAACAAGTATGATTACAGTATTACTACCTTTACTTAAGGAAGAGATCTGAATACTTTCCCACCAATGCACTGTTCTCCCTGACACCCTGCTCTGTATACACACAGTTGTATGACACCATATCAGCATAATCTCAAAATATTAATTACAAATTACATCTAATTTATCCTCGAATATTTTTTGAATCACAAAACATTATGACTTTTGGAGTCCATAACTGGTCCTTATAGTTGTACAATTTAATTCAAGAGTCATATAATAAATACTTTGTGCAGGGCTTACTGTGTTTTGTCACCACCTTATTGACAGTGTAACTAACAAAAACTACACACACCTATGCAGAACACTTTGGCCTTCCATTTCAAAGATTCATTATGGTGTAGCCTGTTTACCTAGTTTCATCCATTAACATCAATGTTTTAGTAGCCCGTTAATTCTTATTGAGAAAGGTCAGTTTGGTGTTTGTGATGCAGAAAAAACACCTCACAACATGAGTTGTCAGAATGGTTCTTTGATGTGTTTTTGATTATTCTGGCCAATTCACCATCACAAATGGACAAAAAAAAATTTATTGTATTGTCTACTAGTATGGCATGACCTGATCAAAATGTATTTCCTAAAAAGAACATCTACTGTATCAGATCAAATCAAATCAAATCAAATCAGGCTTTAATTGTCATCTCACCAAACATACAACAGTAATGCAGGTAAAAGGAAACAGTGTTTGTTGGCATAGTGGCATTTTATGGAAAAGAGGTTTATGCTGCATCAGGCTTTGGATAAAGACAATTGGTTTTAGCCTTTTCACAAAAATAGTTGATAATAATAGGCTAGTAATAATAATAATAGCAGCCATGAAATTGGTGAGTAAACTATGGGAATAAGACTTCACATAAATTGCACATATTTTAAACAGCATATTTTCACATTTTCATTGTAATTTTCCTTTATTCTATTTTCATGTTTCTTGATTTTTGTTTTTATTTTCAGTTTTGTTTTCTTTCAGGCCACTAGTTATGAACCAAAGCAAATTCCTTGTGAAAACTTACTCTGCAATAAACCAGATTCTTCTCCTTCGTAATGCCAAAAAACTTGAATTTTCGCACCAGAAATGGGAATATAGGCTACTAAAATCATAAATGCATGTCATTTCAAATCCAGTTTGCCTATACAAATATATGTTGGCTTCATTTATTTATTTTAATAACATAATTTGTCAGTAGTGTATCATCGAAGGTGAATGTGTTTACCCATGTGTGTGCCATAACTTTGTGGCTGTTAGTTGAAACACAAGAAAAGGAATGAAGAAAGGATTGAAGAAGGAAAGGAGACAAGGACGCCCCCCGACAGTGTTGGGTCGCGGCCTGCTGTATTTCTTCGACTCCGTTCACCTCCATTCACACAGTAAATAAAAGCATGGAGGCTCTGACTCTCGGGATCTAATACCGAACAGCGGGGGGTAAAGACACTGCCGCATGCGCGCTCCCTTTCACCAAAACACACAGGAAGGAAGCAGGACGGCGGTGAACGCTTTGCCTGTTGGATTTAACTGGTTTTCCGCGGAGGAGAGGATTGTAGTTGGAGACAGGAGCGGGGCAGCCCGCCGTGCTGAGCATGAAGCGGACGGCTGTAGTGGCCAGGCACAATGGCCTCGTCTCTCCGCTGGGGAACAACAACTCCGGGGCTTCGAGCATCGTCTCACCACCACAGCCGAGAGCCACTAGTATCTCCGCTTGTGCCGACAGTGGTGCCGGCGGTGGGATGGACGGCCTGCTGGATTTCTCCAAAGGCCCCACCGTCAAAACCGAGCTGGTCTGTAAATGGATTGACCGAACTTCTTCGAGACAGAGGCTTGGGCGGACGGCGACATCCGTCTGCGACCAAACTTTCAGCTCCATGCACGAGCTGGTGGACCACGTCACCACCGAGCATGTAGCAGCGGGGCTCGAGACCCTCAGTCATGTCTGCATGTGGGACGAGTGTATGCGCGGCGGGAAGGCGTTCAAAGCCAAATACAAACTCATCAACCACATTCGCGTGCACACCGGGGAGAAGCCTTTTTCATGCGCATTTCCCAACTGCGGCAAGATGTTCGCACGCTCCGAGAACCTCAAGATCCACACGCGCACGCACACTGGTAGGGATTCACGATTGTGTGACTTCACACACAGCGCTGTGATACACTCATTATGGTCTGTACATTCGTGTCCCCAGTCAAGACAGCAGCCTCCTGACAGGGACTGGGAATAATGAGGTTAATAGAGATTGTTCCCAGTCTGCTAGGAATCCCCTCCATGTTTACGTAGGCTCAGTTCAGTACCATATCCACATCCGGCCTTCACTGCTCCCTTGTTTCCTAGAGGAATCACAGGTCGAAACTGCAGCTCAGGAGTCATGCAAGGTGACAGGAAGCAGGACAAAGCAGCTGGATAGAGGGAGAGGGGAGAGGACGAGTGCATAATCTAATTGATTCGATATACATAACAGAGTGTGCTGAGACATACACGTGGCTATAGTTATTTAAATTCCCAGTCTGCTATAAAACAGAGACAGTAACATAAGCCTATTTTATGGCTGTGCAGTTAAAAGTAAACTCAGCTGACAGGTGTTTAAAAAGTCACACTTTAGTTATGTCAATGAGACAGTCCTGCTTTCTACTGGGACACCCTTTATGAAGGGTTCATAAGCTGTAACTAATGATTAATAATAATTTACTAAGGGACTGTTGGTTATTATGAGGGGAGAGGGAGTGGTGCAAAAACAAGGACGCATGTCAAATAATTTTATAATTACTGAGGAGGGACTTGTGTTTTTTTATTTTGGCTTAGGGGATGAGGATACACATTTAAATAGTGGTATTTAACCTTTATGTTAACAAAGGTGGGTTAGGAAGGCATGTTTTCTTTTAAAAATTGCAAAAATTACGCCAGTTATCACGTCCAGAAACTGTCGAAACAGAAATTTTCTTTGAATTTTCAAATTTCCATCGAACCTTGGACACATCATGTTTGACAGATGCTTCCATTAGAGTAAACGTAAACAAATCTGAGCTAAAAATAGTGAAATTTCATCAGCATCACTGTATTCTATGCAGGGGCAAATGTCAGTTAACACGGGCCCCAGTGCACACGACTATGAGGCACACACACACACACCACTGGTAACTGTTTAAAAAAAGCCAAAGGAATCTTATTTAGGGAGCTTTGCTACTTTTTCCTCCTGTCCCACTTTCTCTTGTCCTTTCTTATGTTCAAAAGGCATGACTGCTGGCTGGACTTACAGATGTGCTCAGTTTGTCAGTCTTGACAGATTTTGCACCTAAACTAGCTGCTGCATCATGTCATCTTGTCACATGATCAAATAGAGACTTGACATTAGGCAACATTAACATACATGTTACCCAATCATCGTTGCCTATCTGTGTATGACAAAAATATCAAAGAAAATAAGAAACTATTCAGTTTTCTTGGAATACCTTACATATATATATTTTGGTTTTTCTAGTTCACGTAGAATAAGCATATCATTTTGTTGTAGATTACTACTAACTGGGTTTGCATTTTTGAGGGTATATAGCCACAAGCGAAGGGAACCGTCTTCAATTTAATATGAGTTCTTTAAACACAGGTGTAGTTCCAAGGTGACAATATGAATCATCCGCAAAGGCCCCACCCAACGGGCCCCAGTGCAACTCAACTGCCTGTATTTACGCCCCTGATCCTACATCTCATTTCAAATTTGCCCAAAAAATAAAGCATTTGCACAAATTAACCAGCATGCACAACAAGAGTGAAAGGCTTTTTTAACTCCAGGATTTCATCTTCAACTTTTAGCTTTTAACTTTCAAATATCATAGGGTACGTGTTAAATATCTAACAAGTGATTTACGGTGGAGGGAGGGTCACGCATTTTTCGCCAGTCACTCAGGGAGGTTTAAGGAAAAATATTTGTAGCTTTGGAGAGGGTCAAAAGAAAAAGAGTCACACCCCAGCCACCCCCCTCTGAAAAATAAAGAACAGTCCCTAATGCTCCATATAACAATTTTAAGTCATCCATAACTCTTGGGTTGCCAAGTTGTGAGGGGGGCATCTCATGGTTTTATTAGACAGTTTAATGAAAGGGAGTGTTGATGATGTGCAACATCCGTCCCAGTATAGACTCGAACAATGTAGACATAGTGACGATACGCGTATCGTAAACTCTCAGGTAACCACCAAAATCCCTTGATTAGCAACCTCACATTTACAACGAAAGACAGATTATTTTATTATTTTATTTTATTATTTTGTAAACCTAACTAACTAACTAACACATTAAATTGCACCTGACGTCCCCTACTTGAGCTGTTGGTTTAGTAGAGTGAGAAACCTGATGAATGAAAATGACAAAATGACAAAGTAAGTGCAGTGGTCGAGGAGGATAAATGTCAGCTGTGGGGATTTTCCCACAACTTGGCAACCCAAAAGTTGATCTTGTTTTTCATATTTTAAAATAGTTCTACAAAACAATATGTAATGATTTAATAAACTGAATGAAGCTATTAGTTTCAGCATATAAACCCTTTGTAAAGTGGTACCATTTGCTATCATGTAAATGGGATGCATGACATATTCACAATCACAATTAGAAACATTTTTTTTTCAGTATAATGTAGTTTTCAACAGGAGCACCAAACAGTAGCCTCCCAAAATGACCGTAACGTTGAATCAACACCTCTGTGAAAACAAAACAACTGAACATTAGATTGTTCATGCAGGTGGTATTTATTGCAGAGCTTCAAACCTTTATTAAGACTTGGGAAATCAGTTGAGGGTGCGCCTCAAATCATACAAAACAACAAACAATAATAACAATTTATGTTAGATAAAAGTTAAAATGCAGGATAATAAAGATGCTGAGTAGAGTAGAGTAGAGTACATTTATAGTTAAAAGCATTTACAATCAACTAAAATGAGATCTGAAATAAGGCATTTGAACAGCAGTAATGGCAGCAGAGAGTCCAAGGAAAATTACATTTTCCCTAGTTCACTTCTAATTAAGGGAATGTTAAGCAACACCCTGCTCTGTGAGCGAGTACCAATATTATGTTAATTCAGAGTTCAGAGAAATAAATAAATAATAATGCAGACCTGCAACAAAGTTAGGTTGTTGGACCACAGAAATTGCCAATGTAGTGTATGTTTGGGGAATGTCTTTTAGCTCTATTGGATGTTCTTTGGGGTCATGAAATAATGCAGTGTTTAAAGTAGCAAAAACATTTATTATTTGAAGAAAGGTTATTTTTTGATAATTTTGTTATTATTCACAAACACAAACAACCCCCACAAACCAACTTTAACATAGGTTCAGAGTACAGCACTAGTATTAAGTATGTATATAGTACATGACATACCCAGATATAACCCTACACTTACATAAATGAGATGTAAGACTATAAATGAGAAAGTATTATTACACTAGAAAAATACAGTTAACATCAATGCAACAAATGGTCACCTAGAGAGGAAGAAAGAAATATAAATACATTGACACAATTAACTATATTTAAAACAAGGAGGGGGAATGTATAGACCAGACCCATCCTTAATGCTTCAGTAGGCATTTATTTTGCAAAAATATCATAATAACCTTTCAGCATGTTGTAATTCAAGTGATCTGAGAGAATACTAGACTTTTGCATTTTCCCTTGGCACTTTTTAAAGGATATAGAAAATCTAGCCTGTGACAGGAGAATTTGGCCAATCACATGTCATTTCAGAGACAGTGTGTCCCTGTTGGCTGTTCTAGAAATGCAGATGCCGTGCATGTCCCTTCAGATGGTGAAAGTTGCTATTCCAGCATTGGCACCAACACCTCAAGGCGGATTTATATTTGTGCGTCAGCTCTATGCAGATGGTGTGTCTATGTCACTCTACAGTTACACCTCCAGAACACTAGTCGGCTGTGGGGTTTATGTGAATTGCTGTAAATATAGTTGATTTAAAACACACCCCAAACACACATTAAACATGGCCTAATAACGACAATTTCAAACACAGGGACACAAATAGGCCTCACTATAACTCACTGGATTGACAGACAAAGCATTTGTCTTTTGCTGGACACATTTTCCCCACAAATACAACACGCTAATGTTATTAGCACAAGCCTATCACATTTTACACTGTATTAATTAGCCTAGCGGCTAGTGGAGATTTCCTCTACTCATATGAGGCCAGGGACAACAGCAACATTTAAGAAAGATACTGTTACAAATTTCAGCTACATTACAGCTCACAACGTTCGCATACTAAACGTTTTCCAAACAAATACAACATGCTGATGTTATTAGCACAAGCCTTTGGCATTTTACATTGTTTAATTTAGCCAGCTGACTAGCAGAGATTTCCTGTACTCATATGAAGCCAGGATCACACACATCAGGATCTAAAATGCTATTTTGTGGGGCCTTTTTTGTCTTAACAATTTATTGTTTCTTATCAGTGAGATCAAAGTAAATAAAAGCTTCTTTTCCATTGAGGGAAGTTTTCAGCTTACAAAAATAGACAGGAGGTCTATGTCACTGCTACATGTAGTTACATTTATGGGTAAGTGCATGTCAGGCAAAGGCGTAGGTTACAGAGTAGATTACGGCGTAGGTATGACGTAGACGCAGAGCCTATGCCGTAGATTCGGCGTTAATTTGATGCAGAAGTATAAATGCTGCTTTACACTTTAAAGCAACCCAAAAATGGAAGACAAACTTATGAAAAAGAGATTCTAAAAGAGAATCTGACAAACGATGCAATAAAATGTGTCAATATCAGCTGCGCAATTCAGAGATGAAGAGCAAATGGTGCTAATAGCTTAGCCATTTGCTAACTGTAGCCAAAGGCTAATGGCTACAGTGAATTCAAGTTCATGTTTATGAAGCTAGCTAGAGTCTTAGATCACAGTATGTCATCTCAAAGGGCTTTACAGGCACAGACCATCAGTGAGTAGCTGTAGCAACTCAAAATTAGCCATCACAATGACGACAGAGGGTCATAGGTCTGTTATCAATGCATTTGTGAGAGAGTAATCCCACAGAATCTGCCTTCACTTTTGCCCAGCAGCTGGGAAACAAGACACAGGAATGTCTTGGTTATTGAGGCGCTGCAGTGTTTATTCATGGGCATACTATAACCTACACTGTACATTTACTGCACCTAGACGGCTTCACTGCTAACCTTTCCCTCCGCTCCGATAACCAACATCTGTCTGCCCTGAGCACAGCCACCCACTGCCACTCTTATAACACAGTCTTATGCATCAGTGTTGATGGCAAAATAGCCAGAATACTCACACTTATTAAAGTAAAACTACACAGAACATTTGGCTGTTGCTTTGCTGCTGAACACTTCGAAATTTTAAAAGAGGGGAATCGGTAGAGACAGTCACTTTGTGGTACATGTTCACAGGATCTGTCATTTCTATGCTTCCTGTTTATTGTCTTTGTAAGCAGCTGTGCATTCTGGTGGTGGCACATTGCATTTCAAGAGACGGCGTGTCCGCTTCTCATTACAGAAGTTGAGCTCCAGCTACTTTATACAAATCAGGGGTGTTCAGCATGACTCACCGCCTCCACAAACTCCCGAAAAACTTTTAAATTAACCATTAAAGATCTAAAACGAAGACAGATACAGCAAATGCATGGCTTATTTCTTGACTCAAATGTTTTCAGAGACTATTTTTGAAATATAAAAGTAAGTTTCCAAACAAGCGGCCACGTTGGTTCAGTTTGCAATCAGTGAGTAGAAGGCCCACAAGTGAAAGTGGCACACCAAGTGGCATGACCCCTCGCATCCAAAAACGCCTCTGTGAGAATGTACCATTAGTGTCAGCAATGACGTGCAAGCATGATGCTGACATGTCATATATGGTCTAAACATGGTGTTAGATTTGTAACATCAGCAAAGTAAGCCTACCTGATGCCAGCTGAACATGTGTGTATCAGGTGTATTTTTAACTTGAGAATTTGTTTGTTTATAAAACCACCCCCACATGACTGTGCATGCTCGTCAGATGGGAGGGGCTTAGGGCAGAGAGCTTCAGGAGTAGGGTTGAATTTTCGAATTCTGTTTTAATTCTCCCAAATGTCTTCGAAATACGCACAGCAGTTACTTTTAAATATTCTGTAATTTACTCGTCAAATCTTAATGTAATTTATAAGAAGATAACGTAGAAAACAGTTACTGTGTATTCTTAAAATGCTCAAAATAGAGTTGCCCAGGAATGAGTCCGAAAACCTAGAAATGAGTTAGCATTTTACTTCTCACAGTTCCCTCATCTTGAAGTTAGTCGGGTTTTGGTTAGGTGCCTGAAATAAGGTCTGTGGTCAACACGAACTTAAGAGACTTTCACGTTTGGTTCTCCGATATAAAATACATCAGTAAATACCCCACCCACTGTATTTGTTGTGAAAAAGCTTGGTGTGTATGTTCACGACAGTGGATGTCTCCACTGAGTTTTCTCAGGATTGCTCAAAGAGAACTTGAGTTATGAGCCAGTATATGATAGAGCACGCTCACATGCACTGATCAATATGAAACTGGAGATTTCGGTTAATACTGTCTCCTAGAACATGTGTACCAAATTTGTGAAATTCTATCTACCAGATTTCTGCATTATTGGCATTTTTGGTTTCCGTCATGAGTTGGGTTCAAAATGATTTAGTAAGCCAAACAATGAATGAGGATATCAACCAGTCTTTATGATGACTGGATGAATGGTCAGTGAGTTTTGTCAATTTCCTGCCATGTCCCACGATCTCGAAAGTTTTTTTATTGACTAGTCCATTTTTGGACTAGTATTACGCAATTATAATGTGTTCTGATGTATAAATTTGGTGTTGATACAGTTGAAATTCAAAAAGCAGTATGAAATTTAAGCAAATGAGTAAAAAAAACATCATAACGGCCTTTATTGTACAAAGGCTTTTTCGTCTTTATAAAGCAAATTGTGTGAGATATGTGAGTCAAATGTCAAGTTAATAATACTCTTACTGTTGGATTGCCGGCCTTTCAAAGTGTTCATTTTGGCAGTAAAATTGTAACACCACCATGAGTCCAATTTGTGTCATATTTCTGTCATTTGGATATAATTTCCAGTTATAAGGCATAGTAACATTTCGCTAGCTTGTTCCAGCACACAGCAAATTAATCAACAGCAAAGCATTGCTGAAAATGCAAAAAAGCCCAAATGCATTGAAATGCGCTGCTGAAAAACCTGGAAGCTGACGTGTAAATTGGCAGATTTGGAAGCTGAAGCGAATTACCTATAAGAAAGCTAAGAGCTGAAACATACTGCTACAGCTAGGATTGATCAATAATTATTATTTTTAACGTAATTACGTAAAATTGTCTGTTTCCTGCAGAAAAAAGGGTTCCAAATAATTACTGTTGAGATTTTTTTTAATATACTATTTACAGTTGCACTGTTTTGGTATCGTCGGTTTTCTAACATACGTGCCATCCTCTATTAACATATCTCCAAACAGCATATGAGCAGCAAAATGTGGGAAACCCCTTTTCATTTTCTTCCTATTTTTATGTTATAAATAAGCCCACCTCTTACCTCTTGAAAGGTAACCTATGCCATTGCATTTATAATTGAACATGACCTAGTTCTTCATGCTCAAGAGTATTTCAGTGTAATCTCTTCATAAACACTCAGTTTGGCTTTCAAAGTGTTATAGTCCTATACTGTAAACCATATTTTTGACCTAGACATTGTTGTTATCAAGTTTTCATCCAGTTTTAGGAAATAACTACATTTACTTGTAATATACACTGTTAAAACGCTTCTGCTCTCAAATTAATATTTGAATAGTCTTAAGTGAAATTTCAGTTTCATAGGCACTGAGGAACATTTACAAACAAAACTTTTCAAGAATCCTCAAGATTTCTTTCGAATGAACTCCTTCCATAACACTTTTACCTGAACACAGCCTCACATTCAGTGGATAAGTATTCCTTGTGGCTGAATAAATTCGACTCACCACAGGTCAAAATGCATTCAGGGGCATCAAAAACAGAAGAAAGAAAATATGTATGTCTGTCTAAATATTTATGTGTGGCGGAGAATAGTTGGTGTTCCCTCAACTGTACCAATAATTAGGGGCCCATTCTAGGGTGTGGTGATGGTAAATGTGATGTTTGTGTTGCAGGTGAGAAGCCATTCCAGTGTGAGTTTTGCGAACGGCGCTTCGCCAACAGCAGTGACCGGAAGAAGCACTCGCAGGTCCACACGGCTTCGAAGCCCTATGACTGCAAGGCCCTGGGCTGCACCAAGTCCTACACCCACCCCAGCTCCCTGCGCAAACACATGAAGGTTCACGTCAAGTTGTCACCTACCTCTGAACCCCAAGACATGTATGACTCCATCCCCCATCAACTCCAACAACCTCATCAGGCTCTCCTCGAGCCCCTCGACCTTAAAATTAACCGCCTCTCTCCATCACTTGCCAATACAAACACTCATTTTCCTCTTCTGTCCAATCATGAATTGGATATCAGCTCAGCCAGCAAAGTTGACCATAAGCTGCTGCTGCGGAGTTCATCTCCAATGGCAATGCCTCTGGATCTCTCTCTGTCAGGCTTGAAGAGTCAGCTGGCCCAGAAGCAACAGAGTGGTAGGACCCCACGGAGGAGCCAGCGCTCAGTCAACCCAGCCTTACCTCAGTTATCTAACATTAAGGAGTGGTATGTCTGTACGAGGAGTACAGCACCACACTTTCCTCTGCTTCACCCAGACCATATCAAATCAGAACCTAGTGATGACGAGGAGTATGTCACGTAGGATGGAGGAACTGGTGAATTTGGACTTGAAGAACATATATTGTCAGACCCAGGTCAGGCCAGAGGATGCTCTGTGGAATCATAGTTGCTGTAAATTTCCAGAACCAGCACTTGTATGGTTCAACATCAGTGGCCCGGAGAAGGCTGTGTCAGATAGAGACTTTTTTACTCTGTCTCTAATTCAAAACTCAGCTTGGCGATCATCACTATCTGTGGACCAAAATGCAATGGCTCAAATGTTGCCGGAAGGGACATGACAAATTCCCTGATTATGGTTATCAAACAAAAAACTGCAAGTTACCCAATCAGTGTTAGCTAGCTAACCTGAACTAACAAAGGGGATAACATTGTATAAATGGACCAGGGGATGTGGGGTACTGCTCTGCTTGCTGTTAAAGAATATGAAGAGAGTGTGTGTACATGATGACCTCTTTAGGGAGACAGATTATTGACCAATTTATCTAAGAGCTCCATCTAGAGAAAGCAATTAAAAGGGCTACATTGACACTGATGGAAAGTGGTTAATGTTAACCTGAGCTCACGATAGCACTGTATACATGGTAACACAGCAGGTCCAAAACAGCAGGCACACTGGGTGGAGGTAAGTGTGTGCTTGTTATGGCCTCAGTATGTTTTAAACAAACTAGCTTGTACATCAGATAGTTAGAAAAATTGTTGGAAGCAGCTGATTGTGCTGTCAGAAAAGGGGGTTACTGACACTGTTAGGTGATCTGACAAGCACTTTGTTTGAAGCAAACTGAAGCCTTTACTAACAAACCATTGGTAGTAACTTGTTCAAAAGTGTTTTATGTGATCACAGTCTAATCCAACACAGTAGCAAGCAGTGAAGCTGCAGTTTGAAGACAGTGGGACTGATCCTTCTTTGTACTGATCATCAAGTGTCTCCTTAACCTCTTCGACTCTATGGACCTTTCAGTGGGTTAATCGCCTGCATTTGTTTACACGTCATGTACAATTTAGTCAAGACCCCAAGGTTTCCAAATTTATCATAAATGTCATACACATATTCCTTTAACATGAAAATGTGTATTAAATGATGCACACAACATCTTGTATTTTCCCTTTGATCAAATGGTGCAGCCATTAAAGAGTGGCAAGTGGAAACAAGCAGAATGTATTGTGTAAGATTGTGGTACAGCTTGGGAAATGTTTCATTTGTGTTTGAAGTTACTGCATTGAGAACACTTTAAATGGTTAATAAGTGACTTATACCAATTTGAACCTGGGATCTAAGAAAACCTACCTGAAGCAGATTGTTTAAAAGTATAATGACACAAGTTTTAAATTCTATTTTAAAGGAAAATTATGATAGCTACAACCCATGTCTCACAAAGTTGGTAAAACTGAAGCTGTTTTCAGATATGAACTTTGGACAATGTTCAGAGAATCTGGTCTGGACATTAGTCTGGAGTTGCCCTTTCACTCATGTAATTCGTAACAAGAGATTATCAGTATCAGAAGCGTTCTCTCTAACTGGAAATACTCTGCTAAGTTAAGGCGAGTGGTGGCGTCTAGGTAGAATGCAGGAGGCAAGACATGATGCAAAAAGTCTGTGGAAATCACAGTGTTTTGTTTGTGTAGCTGGTTCATAATTCGGTCTTAAACAATTCTAACCCTAGCCTTTCCTTGTCAGTCTTTACTGATAAAAGTTCCTGAATCTCGTCCTCTCGTCTCGGTTCCTTGAATTTGTCTGACAATTTCAGCATCCACTCTTACTGAAAGAAGTTTCTGCATCTTGTCTCTCCTATTAGATTTTTTTCTGCTGTCCTTGTTTAAATTACCCTTCATCTTCAGTCTCAGATGTTTTTTATCTTCTGGTTTCACACCAGTCACATGATAGAAACATCATCAACATGCCAACTCGCTTGACGTGAATTCTCCAAACAGACCTCTTCTGTTCACACGTGGGTTCAACTGGACATTACACAGACTATGTACTTGGGAGCTTGCAGGGAAAAGTCCACTTAATGTCCAGTCCCTCTGATTTGGGCATTTGCATACTTGCATACAGCTCCTCTGGCTAGAGGTTCACAGTTGCAGTGCATGTGTGAAAGCAGCTTGAAAATGAGTACATCTGAGAAGTCTCCAATAATTGCTCATTGCATAAGAGAACTACAGTAAGAACAGCAGGTCAAAGTAGGAACTGGGTCTAACTGTGATGAATGTTCACAAGCGATAGTTCAGGAAATAATTTCAATGTTCATCTTTGTTTTCCATGTAAGTTTAGCTAGTGTGGGGGTTTATTTAAAATCTTTTTCGCCACCTTGTTTCCAAGCTGTTAACTTCAGCTGTTTCCTCACATGAACTCCAGACAATGACCAGAGAATCAGGTCTGCACATTGGACTGACTCATGTCGCACTCAACAAAAGATTATCCGTGTCAGGTGTGTTTTCACCTTTTGGAATTACTCTGTTTGGTTAAAGCAAGGGAAGCAGGGAGCAGGACATGACACACAACCAGACCACAACAGTATGCTGTGGAAATCACAATGTTTTTTCTATGTAGCCGGTTTTCAATTTTTTCATTAACAACCAAGTTTCTTGCCCTTCCTTAAACTTGTCTGACGATTTCGACGTCACTTCTTACAGACAAAAGTTCCTGAATCATGTCATCTCTCCAAGAAGACATTTCTGTGGGTGTCTTCGTGTAAATGACCCTTCTTTTTCACCCTTGAATGTTTCTATTTTTACAGTTACATGATAGAAATGTCATCAACACACTCACCTGCCTGCTGTGTATTCTCAGGACAATGACCTGCTCTATTCACACATGGGCATAATTGGATGTTATGCTGACTTTGTGCTCGGCAGCTGGTGGAGTAAGGTCTGTAAATGGTCCAATCCAACTGATTTGAACATTTGCTTTTTCCCATACAGCTCCTCTGGGTAATGTCTAGTTAAGGGCTGTAGCACGTGTTTGAAAGGGGCTTCCTTTATTATTATTGACAAGAATGATCAACAAAACCACAATTAACACCCAAGTTGAATCAACCCCTAAATTTCCCTTTAAACAATGTAAGTGATTTGAGAACTACAAGTCTCAATTTTGATTCAGGTTTACTAATGACAAAGCTGTTGAGCGAGTTATTGATCAATGTCAAGCATGGAGAGGGTACATAGACGTTTATAAGTGCTGAACAGAATTGGACGGACAGAATTATGTCACTGAAATTTTGCCTCTCAAGCAAAAATCTCTAGATACAAGCACCTACTTTATGAAGTTGGTATTTTTCACATGGTTAGCATGGTGGGATGGTGATTAGCACTGTAATCTCACAGCAAAATCCTCCAGCTGGGGCCTGTCTGTGTGTAGTTGACATGTTCTCTCCATGGCTGTGTGGGTTTTCTAAGACAGTCCAAACACATCCAAGTAATTAATTTTATCATTGGAAACTCTGAATTACCTGTAGGTGTTAATATGAGTGTGAATGGTTGTCAGTCCATATATGTTAGCCCTGTGCTAGACTGGTAACTGGTCTTAGTGTACCATGCAATGTGGGTTGAGATAAGTTCCAGCTCTCTGTGACCCTGCACATGAGAGGCGGGAATAGATAATGGGTGGATGGATATGCCTGGCATGCAACCACAATCGGAGAGCAGGATAAAATCCATTGCATCTGACCTGGAGGTGAGGTTTGCTCATGTTTGATACTGACTTCTAAATAACATCTGTGCGCTTTCCAGTGTGCTCCTCTGGATTTTTCTGGCAAAAGCCATTTTTACACAGAGATGGCGTATTAGGGCCGCTACAAAGTCCCTTTATGCTGCCTTTGCATTTTTACTCAGAACCAAGCAACAGTGGCGTCATGCTGTTTAGACAGCATGCCGTCATCACAGAATCAAAAGAGGCGTGACGGGTGTGATATTAAACACAACAGCGTCAGCCTCTAGTGTGACATATACGTGTCGACAGCACTTAATAAACCATGATAAAGGCATTAACATGGCAATAACAATCATCAGCTGATCTTGTCCTCTGCTCGGAGGGTAAGGAGCACCCAGACCTCCTTGTTTTTCAAATTTGCAGACAATTTGGCTGCTGTTCTTTTTCTCTGAGTTAGCTGCTAACTCCTATGGTGGGTCAGACAAGTAACCCATTGTCAAAACATCACACCCATGCTGCCCGTGATCCCATCCTGCTGGGTGTCACTTTTATACTGACATCGTTTCGGGGCTGTGACTACCTTCGATGCTGGCTTAAAGGCAAGACAACTCTGTCCCTTTATTTGGCAATTGTATCTTTTATACAGAGCGGCAAAGCACCATAACTTCTAAATTCCCACCTCAAAGACACAGTGTAAAAGAGGCTGAAAACACCAACTGTTGAAAGTACATGTATGGGAAATTGAAGCATGCACGGGCCCCTCTCATGATATCAAGTGCTCAGAATCTCTCTCCACTAATATAAACTAGTAATAGATTTTCAAGTTATGCATGGAATCAGGTTGCTGCTTTTACATTTTTGCAAATGTCACCTATCAGAGTTAATGATCACTGAATAGCACATCTTTGTTCCTTTTCTGCAGTAAAATCGAAAAAGACTGTTTGACACAGTATCACATCAGATCTCAAGTCATTGAAGGGTCCAGTTAAGACACCTACTGAACCATTTATTCTCTTTATAAAATGTTTATTGGATCAATGTAGAACATGAAATGTAAGATGCAGTCAGTTAACATGCACTCTAGTGAGATCCACCCCAACCCTCTGATTTGGCAAGTCACAACAATGTGTGAGTGAACAAGTAAACATTAAATAAATTACAACCAACCAACCATAATGAAGTTTCATGATATTGCGTAATGTCAGTGTACTTATCAACCATTTTTGTTGATTTTACTCTTAGTATTTTATCTTAATTTTTCTAAATGACCCTCTGGAAACAGGTGAAAAGACACCGCCTACAAGTACCATCTGTCACTGCAGTAACAAAGCTCTTCAGGCTTTAAGAGAAAAAGGCTAAGGTGTGAGGTCAGAAGACTTGATGCAAATGAGAACAGCTGAAAGGATTCATATCCAGTGTGCCAGAGGAGCGCTGGGACTACTGAGCCACCTGAGCATAAAAGCACATTCTTAACTTACAAAATACTAACCAACTGTTATCTGAAGCCGCTTATCCTTTACAGGGTTGCAGGGGACTGGAGCTGATCCCAGCAGTTATCGGGTGAGAGGCAGGGTACACCCTGGACAGGTCACCAGACTATCACAGAGCTGACACACAACCCCCTTTCCTGTTGGATAAAAACCCACCAACACCCAATAACATCTGGTTTTGTATTTAGTGGGAAAGGTTACAATCTGCATTTATTCACAGGCAAATGAGTAGTCATGGTAATTTATCGGCTCCAGCTCTAATTGGCTCAAACTGGCAATGATAAAACATGACACCAGAGTGGACACGCACATTTTGTTAGCTTAGTCAGCTTCAAGTTTGAAAGAGAGACTGAATAAATATGAAAAACAAATAATCACTGTGACATTTTCGCTGGCCTCCATGTTGCTTTCTACTGTCTACTTACCTGTTTTTTGGCATGTTCATAACACTGAACGTAACACACCAGAATTTTAAAAAAGGCATACCTGTCCACATCAGAGTTATGTAAACAGCTCTGGTCTATTGGCATAGGAAAGGAGTCTACTACCTATTTTACTGGGTTTTCTGGACTTTAAAAAAACACACACACATATACATGCTAATGTTGTTCAACGTAGGGTAATAGAGACCATTCACACTCACCTAACAGCAATTTGGAGTCACCAGTTAACCTAACCTGCATATCTTTGGACTGTGGGAGGAAGCTGGAGAACCTGGATAAAACCCACAGTGACACAGGCAGAACATGCAAACTCCACCCAGAAGGGTCTGACCCTGAACCCTTGTGCTGTGAGGTGACAGTGCTGTCCATTACACCACCATGTAGCCCTCAACCTTTGACAAAATAATAACAAGCTTGTAGCCCATTTCCTAGCTCTTCCTGGGGCTTTCAGTTATGCTGATTAAGACCAAAAGATGTTCTGGGGAAATCCGGTAAGTGCCCCATAGAATAAGATTTATTTGTCAAACCACTAGCTGAACTGTTGAGGTGATAATAGTTGGACTTGTTAGATGAATGTTTGCTTCCAACCACATAATTCAAGCCAATGAGATTAATCAGCATTGTGGTGCTAGGTTTAATGACTGATTGATGTCAGGGATGAATCGGACATTTACTGCCTGCTCAGACTGCTTACCAATAAGCTGCTTGTAAAGTTAGTACAGTATAGACAGATACCCACTTTTCACCAAGGACCCGTCTTCAATCTGCAATTCCTAACACAACACTGATATGTGTGAAATCTGTTTACACCAAATCCAATGACCTGTTTCCATCTGTTTAACCAAAAGACATGGGACATGAGTCAGGCAGTGTGTTACATAAACTAGCAGTACATTAGTCAAGAGTTTTAACATGAACACCATGAATTTTGGTGTCAGACCTGTAATGGAAAGGACTAAAAAAAGACTGGCTAGCAAGTTTCAGATAGGTTACTTCCTAATGGTGAGTAAAATTGCATTTTTTATGCAGCTCCCCTGGTTTACAGTATGTCACATGCAGTCCTCACAGAGCAATACACAAAATCTATAATGAATTTCCCATTGAATTGTTTTTTCTCATGCACAT